AATGAAATCTTAAAACGAAAACGATTTATATTTCGCAATAAATCAGTGTACGGTAAAGCGATATCCTTAAATCGCCAATTGACTATATGCGTTTCGATAAACGATAAATCGCTTGAACGTCTATAAAGCGAATAATAAATTCCCTTTTATAATAAAGTCCTTATTCAATCGGTCGATGGAGTGCGTCATTGTTATATGAGAGATACTTTAACAAAGTCTTTGTTTTAAGGAAGATAGCATAGCTCTCGAGAAACGATTCAAGAGCTCGAAGCGCCTTGGCGAGTTCAAAAGAAATCGCCTTCGATTGCAATTTCTATTCGAGGACTTGGAGACGGATTCAGAAGGTTTGAAATGTTAATGGATACTTCTTTATACGGTCTGAGAGTTAATATTTGTATGCAATAACGTCATGTTTATGCATAGTGGAAAGGAAATGCTTCGGTAACTGCGCCGGTAAATAAATTGTAAATTATTCTATCTCTCAACAACAAACTACTAAGCAATTTTTTATTGATTTAATAATATTTTTGGTCGATAGAAAGAATAATTATTTATCGGTTTAGGGTAGATTATTATTATCGAATACGTAACACATGTGTAGTTATGCACATATGTATATTTATACACATATTAATATTTATGTACACATGTCTATATTTATACGGGTATTAATATTTATGTGCACATGCATATATTTATACGGGTATTAATATTCATATGCATATGAACATATTTATACACATATTAATATTTATACATATGTGTATACACATTTGTATACAGACATTTTATGTAAGATATTAGTAAAAACATTCTGTAAAATAAAAATGGATAATAGTAATAATAAAATACAAGAACGTAATAAAATTGAGTTACATTAGACTAGTAATATACCTGGCTTATAAAACGTACAAGTTTTACCATAGGAACGCGTCGAACTGAAGCACGAATTAAATTATACTAAAATGAACCGAATTAAATTGCACTGGAAAATTAAATTGGAGAAAATTATGAACTTCAATATGGAAATTAAATCTGCTACGAAAGTTGCACGCACTAGTGTGCAGCGAACGCATTAACTCGATGAAGAAATAAATAAAGTACAATTGATATGAAAATTGCACAAGTTGCTATACCTGTATAATAAATAAGCTTTTAGCAGAAGTTAAAGAGGATTAAAAATCGAGTTAAAAGTACGCGTAAAGTTCCATCCAATTTGAAAGGAGAACAATCGACAACGGGACACCGGGTGTTATTCTTCTAAGAAAATCGTTTAACGAGTTCTTTCATTGTACGGAACGAAGGTGTCTCCTTAGTACGAAGGAAGATTACAATCACGAATGAATAGAATAGGGTTTTAATTAAGTGTCGTAAATAAATCAAAGCAGAGAAACTCAGGTTCTTTCGGAGTTGAAGAGAAAAAGGTGTGACGACGATGTTTCATCGGGGACGACAATGCTTCCGCTGATTTTCTCGCCGCGTATAATTTACTATATTAATGCGTTATCCACGTCACTGTCAGCATAATAGACTTTTTGTCACAGGCACACCGCACCGTGGAAGGTTTTACGTTATTACCATCACGGTTGTTTGAGATGCAAACTATCTATTTAAATATTCATGCACAAAACGTAAGCGTAAATATTCATATGCAACATGTAAATATCAGATAAACAATAAATTTCGTGTGCCGCGGTTGACAACGATTACATTTCACATCGCCAATTATAATACTGATTTATCTGTGAAATACAAGCTACTATTTTTCGTCTATTTTTCTAGTTTAATTTTTACTATTAATCTCAATAATTACTACACTTATTATAAACCCTACAACCAGTTTTCATAAGTATGATTATTGTAATTTTATTTGTAATGTTTTCATAATTACTTACTGCACTCGTCAAGTATAAATTTTATGGCTTTTATGATTTTTGTGATAATTCACTATCACAAGAACAGTAGTTTATTAATTCTAATTTAAGGATACAAATTGCAGTGCACAACTTACAATCAATTTAAGACTTTAACAAAAACAGCTAATATAAATCTAAGTAATATTTTCTGAGTAATTTTCTCTAATATAAAATGATCATTGATTGAAACAAACAGTGATTAAATTAGAAACCCAGAAGACACAAACGCGCGCACAATGTCGTCCCAAAATGGCGTCAAAATCAACTCACGCATTAATCGACTTAACAAACTCCTTTCTATCGCAATGAATAATTATGCAATGCATCGTGTATTCAAGGGGAAACTAATAAGCATATTATTTATCAAGGGAACAATTCAACCGCGTTATTATTAGATAAACGCGTGCAAAGAACGCTAGCTGGTACAATTTGCGACTAGTTATTATTCGATGCGTCAAAGTAAGCGTGTACGAGGTGAAATATGATAATCGTTATTCGTGCCACGCCCAGTTTATCATATTTCTTCGGGCGCATTATCATAATAACATCGTGCACAGAGATCAGCCTCATTCGACTCGATGAAAGACCGTGTTTCTAACGTGCGAGATTGATACTGGTCTTAAAAAGAAATTCTCCTATATTTATCCCTATCACGTTTCGTTAATAACATACACATTTAAATCTTTTTGTACTTACTAAAGTATATTAACAAACATGTTTTGCTTTAGTGATCAATTTTACTTATTTTGTTCTGCAACCTTGTTGAAAGTCATCTAAAAATCAGTCAGATGAAAATCATATGAAATCTTGCCTTAAAACATCACAGTCGCTGGTATATTTTATTTTCTATTTCAAAGATTGTTTGCATGTTAAGATGTGTGTTAAATTAATTTATACTATAATGGCAGAACATGTGTACACGTGTGTGCTTGCTATATGGAGATGCTGATGACGATGACAAAAATTGTAGTAATTTTTCAATATTTGAATTAACAAAATAATAAAATTAAAGCAAGTATGATTGAAATTAAGAAATATATATCAATGAAATAAATAAAAATACAATACATTAATTAAATAAAAGAACAATTGAATATAAGTCGAGTATAAATTAAAGAAGAAAATAAATATAAATTAATTCGTAACATTGTAATAAAAGGGGTAGATGAGTGATCGAAAAATTGCCGAAGTAATTGATACCAGCAGAAACAGAAAATCATGTAGCATTTAAATCCACTTTAATACGACACGATTAATCCGTAAAATTCGCGAGGCCAGCTCGGTTTCCGCATGCGGTTCTTCATTTGATTCTCCCGCTTACAAATTGCATTACACCCCGCAATATTCCTCGGCCGGATAATGAACCAATTTTCGCTAGAATTTAATTTATCGCCGGTAGACTCGCGCGTAAGCTGTTTCTCGTTTTTATCGTGGAGTATCATACGTACGTACGGTACGTGGCCGGATTCTAATGAAGTCCGAAACCGGAGAAAATCCGGTTTTCGTATAATGTTCGAGGGCTTTTACACCGCGAAGCTGGTTTCCGCGGAGGATACAAGGCGTGGCTTATATTTAAGCCGGCGAGAATGGCGAGAAGGAAAAGAGAGAACACGTTGAAACTGCAGCTTTCTTCTTTTTCTTTCTTTTTTTTTTATTCACCCATTACAGGATTACTTTTTTACCCATTTGCCAAATGTTCCGCCCATGGATATTCCGAGTGCGTAACCGGACGAATGGCAAATAATTAATTATTCAGGTGCACTGAAACTCGGGGAAAACTTCTAGTGGGTGCATTCTCCGTAATAACGAATGCCATTGTCCAAGTATCGTACTCGTTTCGACACGTGTGGATCGCGAAAAATATTTTTGTTTCGCTGCAAGTGCGTGCTTATGCGCCAACAGAGAAATATTTCGATCGTTTTCTAAAATAGGATAATTTTTATTAATTTTGGTATCACTTACTGTGCTCAAAACATACTTAATTTAGGTACTACGCAACTGACTTCGCATAAAAACCGTTAAATGTCATTCTCCCTATCGCGAATGTATTTTACATACATTTCATATGCTCATTCTCACTAATCAAAATTTAATATTATAACTTTTACACTATGAATACGTAGGTCGTTCAAGACCCAACTTAAATTTGTCTTGACTTAAGATTACAACTTTTGAATAATACACTAATAATTATAGTAATTGAAAAAATGACCCCGCAATCTACTTGACGTCATCTTGAGAGCACTTTAGAAAACTTGCGTAACGAATTATGTTCAAAAAGTCAAAAATAGTAGTTGCACAATACAGTAATGGCAAACTATCGATGCACATGTTCTCAACGGTGGTTGAACCACCCTTTAGGTAGCTCCATACTTTCCAAGCTTTTTTGCATGGAAACTTTTGTTCATTTACGATACAAGCTCACTGCCGGCTGGCCGGTAGTTCTCGTTATCCATTACATACCACCACGATTATGAAAAGTTTCGGGAAAACGATGGGGATCGGGGAGGGCGAAAGAAAATTCCTTCGAGCTTTTCCCTGTTGCCTCTCGCAAACACAGAGATGCACTTGGAGTTCGAATTGCGGAATCAGAAAAGAAAGAAACAGGGAATGCCAGAATCTTGAAAATCGTGTCTTGTCGAAAATTCAAGAAACAAATTAAGTCGAATAAAAGAACGAAAATGGAGATCGTTTTATTCAAAATTAATAATCATCTTGATATAACGGTAGTCAATTAATGTAACTTATTTTGACCTGACAAATTTGTTAAGATAGGATGTACAGTAAACTGAACACAGGAATTTGATAAAATACACAGCAAATTGGCCATTGGAATTTAATAAAATGTACAATAAACCGAGCACAGAAATTTGATAAAACGTGTAATAAATTGAACACAGTTTGATAAAATGTACAATAAATCGAACACAGAAGTTTAATGCAGAGTAAATTGAACAGAAAAATGTGATGAAATGTACAATAAATTGAAGACAAATATTTTATAAAATGTTCAATAAATTGAGCAACGAAATTTAACAAAATGTGCAATGTAACGATTTAACTGTTTTTTTTTTGTGGTTTCAGGATCAAAGTCAAACCTGGTCGTCGACATCGAACCGAAACGACAGACGGCGGTGAGGTTAGGCGAGAGTCTGCAGATTTTATGCAGAGTCGGTAGACCTCTTCAAGTATGCCGTGTCGAGATACCTGGCGAAGGTGGCGGTATGGTTTTGTCTAAAGGACAACCACCCGAAGATGGTATCGAGTATTATGGGGAGGGTACCGATGCAGGCCAATGCGGCGTCCGCATCACCAAGATCAAGGAGATCCATGACGGTATTTTCAAGTGCACTCTGACACCCACCGACAGTCGAACGGAAGTTCAAGCATCTGTGAAAATTATTGTTGCTAGTAAGTATTTTTATTCTGTACTCTCACATATTAACTCTAATTTCGTCAGAAGACACTGTTGTCTTTTTTCATGGTTTAAAATATAAGATCAAATTCATAGCAAAATAGCTGTTTCAGTCAGTACTTCAGTCCATAAATTCATCTAAATTTTCATAATGCAAAATTTGTGCATTTAAGTTGCCTTATTGTAACAATTTTAGTGTAGACCATGTCTGAAGTACATTATTTATTATTTAGTGCCCATGAAAAATTTGCCATTGGTATATTACAAATAGAATCCTTAAATATAAACGATAACCTCTCAAAATATATTGTATTTTAATTGTATTATACTAGGTATGTACTCAGTGTAGAAGTAACGTGTTGAATTCTGGCCAAAATGAGAATTTATGAATCGAACACGACTCTGATTTATCTGGTAACAGTGCTGTAATTTTCCTTGTCCTCTATTATTAAAAGTTTCAATTCAATACGAATATGTAACTAATCGAATCTGACAGATTACAGGAGTTTCAATATAATTTAACGTGAGATTTATTACAAAGATATTTCGCTTTCAATTATCACCGTCATATATCGTAATCTTGTTCCAGATTAAAGAATTTGAATTTCGAGATCGATTTAAGAACAATTTTTCATGTCGCGTCTGAAACTCTCAGCACTTTGTTACACATGTACAAGTAATTAATCGTTGGGAAGTTCTTACGTGTGGCGCCGAAATTAATGAGAAAATAGCTGAAACTTCGTGACGTAAGTTGTCCGAGGAAAGTATTCCGAAGGGGGAAAAATATTACGGCGTTGCTACGTAGGAGCATTCGAGAACTAATTAATCTTCGTTAAGAGAATTGCTTACGGGAAGAGAAATAAGAGAGCACGGGTAGAAGGAAATTACCGTTTTCAGATAAAGTCGATAAAGATAAATGACGAAAGGTAGTCACGATCGAGAGCTGGAAGTGTTTCAAACGAATTTAAATAAAGATCCGCGTGTTCGGTTATCTTCGTGAAAGGAAATTGATGACCGTCCGTGTTGCCCGATAATTTTACGACGAACGTTTCAACAATTATAGCCATGTTTATCGCGTAATTAATGTTTCGAACTCCATTTACAGAACCACCGAGCAATCCTGAGCTTCTGACAAGTCCTGGATCGTACAGCAGAAGTATATACAGAAAAGGGGAAAAGCTGGAAGTGAGTTGCAGCGCACCGTCCGGAAGACCTGCTGCAAACGTTTCTTTATTCCTTGGTAAGTAAATAATTAATAATTTCACGTAGTTCATTAGGTGATAATAAAAGTAACGTTAAAAGATTTACCATTATGGAACCAGTGAAAGAATACGATTTGTACATGTAATATTCTTTGCTCTTTACAAAGTTTCGACAAAAAATTGATGATATTAAATATTCGAAGTTATGGCAGATTCATAAATTCATAAACCTAGACGCTAACACAGTTAATAATCTTTTTTTAGAATCACTCTAGATTCTCCCTAAATTAACAGATAATTTCTATAAGATACATCACATATTTAATATTTGGTCACACACAAAATAAAGCATGTGTTTTTTATTGTTACAATTAGATGACGAACCTATCGGTAATGAAGAGAGACCGACGATTTACGACTCGAATTTGGATGACAACTCGTTGGCTGTGCAAAATGCATCCCGCAGTTTGGATTGGACGGATAATGGTAAAATTCTTCGATGCGTCGCCAACCATATTGCTCTTGACAAGCCGAAGGAAACTACCATGCAACTGCAAGTTTACTGTAAGTAATTTCTTATCTCAAATCAATAATACTACATACAAAAATTATAACTACTGGAACTAAAAAATAGATATATCGTGATAAATATTTTACTGCATTCTTCCGTCTGAAAAATTGTGAATGATATTTTGCAGATCCTCCGCAACCACAACCAACCATCGAACGTTTCGGATACGTGATTGGACGACAAGGTATCGTGAATGTAACCGTTTTTGCGAATCCTAGGCCACGTTTCTTGTGGAGAGTGAACGACGAAAAAATCAGCGAGGGTCATCCAGACGAGAGCACCCGAATTGAGACCTCAACTGCTGTTGATCTGGTAAATAGTTTTATACTTTGACTCTTAAGTGCCTCCATATAAACCCACACAGATCAATTTTGTTACACATATTTTAATCATTGAACAAATTTTCTTAGATCCTTAAATTAAGATGGTCTGATGAGGACAAATAGTTAAAGAATTACTCTAATTAAAATTTTGTCTATATTTGTTTTATGATGATGCTGCGTCCTTTATAAAGAATTGTTAATTTTTGTGATTATTGCAAATCTTTTTCCATAAATTAGCTTCTAATAAAAATGATCTGATAAGTATCGTAAAATATAAACATTCGTACTTTGAAGACATCACGAACCACTGTATACAGTGAGTACTCGTTATATTGCCGCAAACGGAGTCGTAGAATTTACAACGCTAGGTCGACGTAAAAGTTTTCCTTTAATGCCCCGGAGAATTTTATAGATATCGATGTCCTAGAAAGGTGGCAATATAATAAGTCTACTGCAATTCTATGTTTCGTACTTGCAATATAACATACTAACTTCAATTTTACTATCAGCCTTTCTACCGCATGCGTAATAAAAGCTATAAAACTGAACCCAAAAATAAATGTATGAAAATAATTAATGTCAAGATACCTGAGAAAGTGCAACGAAGCACAATAAAGCATCAATGAAAACACGAGCAGACTGATAAAGCAACAAGCTATCGAAGTTACATCTGCAATATGCATGAAACGATTCTCAAAGTTTCACGAAAGTGAGTCCAACTATTCGGATGAATAAAATATCCGCTCACTTGGAAAGTTTAATGGAGGCTTATCAGTGAAACATTCTATCGATTCTGGCCCATAAATATTGAACAACTCTGACACGTTCCAGGAGAGAAGCAAAGAAGTTAAAAATCATTGAGAATTGGAAAAATAAAGAATGTGGCCGGAAATTTTGTGGAAGTTCAACTCGTAAAGGAGCGACGAAAGAAGGACAAACGAGAGAAACGAGGACGGAGAAGAACAAGAAGGTTAATGGAACAATGGTTTCGCATTCCAGAGCAGCGGTTTGCGCGGTGCACTTAACGTTTTTCACGTATTTGCAAAGTTTCTTGCTAATCAAAAAGCTTTAATGAAATTCCGCTTGATACGAACGGCGCAATCGCTTGAAATAATTCAATTGTCTATAGTTTCGAAAGTTTAGTTCGTTTACTGAAACATTAGCGGGCACTTGTTAAAATATTAATGTGTCGCACAAAATGAATTTTGGAATTATAAATCACGAGTGACTTGCATTCTGAATACGAAGAGTCTTGTTATTATTTATACTCTTGTTATTTACTATTTATTGATATTTGTTATTTACACTTGTACGAAGATAGAGATTTCTGCAATTAGTGAATGTTACTGTGTTCATTAATTATAAAAAGATCTGGAGAGCTCAGTCTCGAATATGTTTACGATATATTGATGTATAATAAATTTTCATGCGAACGGTAGTTATTTATAAAAACGACAGAATGGAGCATCGAGCGTCAAATTCATGACATCTGGGGATGAAATTAAAATTCATGTATGCGCGTGCACACTTCAGATCGTAGTACAGGGAATATCAATTGGAGAAATTTGTAAAATACGAACAGGAGGACCAATTGGGAGCCGGAATTCGCCAACGTTCGAAATTAAAGTGTCATTTAAATGCGAAGAGGTGTACGGCAGGCCAGTCATCCATCAAACGGAGGCTAACGTAAAGTTCCATGCAAGAGTCAGTAATAGCATCGTTGAAAAAGAAACCAATAAAGCCTTCATTCGAAACCGCTTGTCGGTTGAAACATGAATAGCCTTCGAAAAGCTAGGTTTGCCGACTGAAAACTGAAACCGACCCCAGTATCGAACGTGAATCACTTTTCTGTCGGACTACAATTATCAATGGCAAGAGTTGCGTTTTTCGTGTATGAAAACCTTTCTCTATTTGTTTACCGCCTATCAATATTTTAAACTGGATCGATCAAAGATGAAATTTTTATGGTTTTGAACGCGAGAACGTATACGTTTTAAGGTCTCAATGCAATTTAAAATGTTTTCAAGTACTTCCCATTATATGTTGTACTTCAATATTAAAACTTTGATGTACTTTATGTTGTAATATGCATTTTACAGGGAAGAGGAGCGTGGAGCGTTATCCTGACGATCGATAGTGTTCAAAAATCCGACACGGACAAGGTATACATTCTGGAAGCCCGCAACGACGAAGGAGCTAACGAATACCATATCGTTTTGTCGACATCCACAGAACCCGCAGGTAAAAATGAATTAACACATAATGTAAATATCACAAATTTAATCACACAATGCACTGAAGTAGTGTGCAAATCACGGCAAACTTCCAATTGCATTTAAATCCAGATATATTCAAAAACCAGAAATGGATTACAAATGATAAATTTTAGAATAAATCAAAATTCATCAAGTTTTCTATAAATTGTCGAAAATCACAGTAACATACAATTCCATATACGTAAAATTACATGTACCATTAAATAGAGAATTAAATTATATTCGTTTAATTAAATTATATGTATATGTATAATGAGATTGTACGTATAAATGAAAGATTAAATTACGATCTTTATTTGTACATAATTAATATAAAGAAAAAAATGGAATAGTATAAATTTTAAGAGCAGACACAGATAATAAAAGATTGATCGTCTCAATGAGATGAGACGGGTAAATGATTTGAATTCGTTGGTAGCTGTCCGTCACGCAGTTAGTTCTCACACATCGGGTTTGTCACCTCCATTTTATCGGGCATATTCGCTAAAGCTGTCTATCGACATATGTACGTCACCGTTCATTGTCACCATCACGTACTCAATCGGTTATCATCGCATTCAGAATTTCGTCGAACACGAATTAGAATATTTTTTAATTCTTTCTGTTGCGTGTCACTTTTGTGTGTCTATGCTGCGCGTTTCTAATCATATCGATCCTTCACCGCATGCTTTCACGCAGGGGCATTCAGCCAGTTCTATGGTAAGCTCTCCGAACACATGCACGCACTAGGTAATGTCATTTTTTCAAATTATTATACGTAAGTAGAGTGTAGTTTTGCACGCGTGAAGTTCCATTGAATTATTTACAAATCGCTTTATACTGTGGAACGATTTCGTCGAAGTTGTTTGTATTTTTTTAAACAAGATGTCGGTAATCCATGATCTCTGCTGAAATTGTTTGGTACGGTAAAAGCAGATATTCGCGAATATCTCGAAAAATATAATTTCTACGAAAAATGCAGTTACTACGAAATTTGTGTATCAGGAAATCCTCTGTAAAAAAGGTTATATAAATTTTTCTCTGCGAACAAATGGAAAACGAGAAACTGATGAAATTCTAGGAAAACATGATCTCTCATGAGTAGACTGCAACATGGTCTAAAGTAGTTTAAACGTATGGGTATCATTAAAACACTTTGGTAGATTTTTGAATACGTTAAATAAATATTTGTATTACCCAAAATTATTTTATGCATTTCTATTTTTTTTATTATTTCATGAATGTAAATCATGGCTGTCGTATACGTCAACATGTCAATAATTCAAAAAATCAAATGAAAATCAAACTCTTCCTATTCTACCATTCGTATTTGAACAAAACCTATTTTCCAATAATATTTGCAGAAAGAGTTTCACAAAACACATCTCGTCTGTTAAAAATTCTGATCGCAGAAAAAACCGTTTTTTCCCCATGTTTTTGTTTATTCGTAGTCAAAGTAAATTCTGTAATAAAACGGGAGAGAAATCCGCCGGTACGTTCCAAATTTTGATAAAATTTAAACACGATATACTATTTTTCAATCATCAAATCCATGTCTCTCCCGTAGCATTGTATTGTTTGCACCTGAAACAAAAATTGTGTAAACGGTAAATCAATATTTTTCCCTTCGTTTTTTTACCCGCTTTCCAAACAGAGTAACCGTTTTGTTCGAAAGCTATGCTATAAATACACAAAAATATCGGTGAATGGAACTTCACGTTGCAGAACGTGCGTATGCGTAACGTTACGTTTGTTATCGATATCAGTGTAAACACGAATGGCAAAACTATGTCCTTTTTTCTTTTTCAAATAAACGCAACTAAATTTATGTGCGATCCGCTTCTGTACGAATCAACACTTTGTCGATATCAAACACAAACTCGTGTCATCGATTTCTTTGAGTACATTTTTCATTTTGTTTCTCTCGCATCGAGTATACAATTTAATCTACAAATGCTGAACTGCCTTTTAACGCTTATTGATAAATGTTCAATCATTACTTTTTTCCGATAAAAGAACGAACATATACAGCGCTTGCTTTGTATGGAGCAGTTATAAAATACGAGTACAGTTTGCAGAGGATGTTTAAAATGTTGTCAATAAAATTATATTTTAAAAGCATTCGTGCTTGTTCTGCTGGCTCGTTCTAATTTCATTAATTATTATACACGAATACTGATGCTTTTATGTCGAATAACTGGTGCATGATTTTTAACGTTTCAGAAGTTCATTCGATTTGCGATGACGTTGTGTGTATTCTTTTTTTGTTGATGTTTGGAGGACGGGCAGGTTATTCTGAAATTTTTAAATATTCTTGGGAGTGCGTTTCCATTTTCTATTGGGGTAGCTTTGGTATAAAATGATAATTACGCTCTCAAATTTCCAGATTCCAAAATTTCTAAATTTCCAAATTTTCAAAATTCAAAATTTCCAAATTCAAAAATTTCCAAACTCCAAAATTTCCAAACTCCAAAGTTTCCAAACTCCAAAATTTCCAAATTCCAAAATTTCCAAATTCCACAATTTCCAAATTCCACAATTTCCAAATTCCACAATTTCCAAATTCCACAATTTCCAAATTCCACAATTTCCAAATTCCACAATTTCCAAATTCCACAATTTCCAAATTCCACAATTTCCAAATTCCACAATTTCCAAATTCCACAATTTCCAAATTCCACAATTTCCAAATTCCACAATTTCCAAATTCCACAATTTCCAAATTCCACAATTTCCAAATTCCACAATTTCCAAATTCCACAATTTCCAAATTCCACAATTTCCAAATTCCACAATTTCCAAATTCCACAATTTCCAAATTCCACAATTTCCAAATTCCACAATTTCCAAATTCCACAATTTCCAAATTCCACAATTTCCAAATTCCACAATTTCCAAATTCCACAATTTCCAAATTCCACAATTTCCAAATTCCACAATTTCCAAATTCCACAATTTCCAAATTCCACAATTTCCAAATTCCACAATTTCCAAATTCCACAATTTTGAAATTTCAAAGTTTAAAATTCAAAAATTTCCAAACTCCAAGATTTGCAAACTCCAAAGTTTCCAAACTCCAAAATTTCCAAATTCCAAAATTTCCAAATTCCACAATTTCCAAATTCCACAATTTCCAAATTCCAAAATTTCCAAATTCCAAAGTTTAAAATTCCAAAATTTCCAAATTTCTAAATTTTCAAAATTCAAAATTTCCAAATTCCAAAATTTCCAAACTAAAATTTCTAAACTCCAAAATTTCCAAACTCCAAAGTTTCCAAACTCCAAAATTTCCAAATTCCACAATTTCCAAATTCCCAAATTTCCAAATTTCCAAAATTTCAAGAATTCCAAATTTTCCAAATAGCATAATTTGAAAATGTCTAAAATTCAAAGGCTGAAAAATTTCAAAAATGTAAAAACCAATAAAAAACCTACCCGTTCTTCAAATGTTATTATTTTACACGATTAATTCCATTGATTATACTTTTATACATTTTATGAAAACAATTGTATGTGTTTATGAAATGCGAGACGTGTTTAAAATTTGTCGCCTAGATTATAGATAACATTGTTCGTAATTTAACGAAAGAAAGAAGTGCATGAAACCTGATTATAGTTTACTCCGAAATTTCAGGCGTCGATTTAGATGCTGGTTCAATCATCGGCATCGTGGTCGGAGTCCTGGTGCTAATTCTCATCGTTTTCATACTAATTTTTGCCCGTGCGACCGGACGCTGGTGCTTCGCAGGTGAGTATCTACGCGTTCTTTTAAAAAACAATCTTCTCTTTAAAAATACTCTGTACAAACCACGTGTCTCCCTGTCCCTGTTGGCGATTTTTCGTGTACTCTTGCTATTTGATTATTAGCTGTAGAAATTACGATCAACTATGATTTAGAAATAGTAAATTGATCGGTATTTAATCTTGGAAAGAAATCAACTTGTATGGACTTTTTTTTATTTCGATTAAAGATAACACTCAGTTTATTTGATGAACAACGTTATTTTATTATTATTTTTTATATAGGAATATTTAAGAATATTTGTATACTTAATATTTGATTTAATACCAGGTTGCTGCATATATGATCGATTTCTAAATACATCTTTGGAAAAATTTGTTATGAAAAATATTTGGAAAATAAAAAGTTTCTTATTAAGTTAAAATTTGTCTGATGAAAATGCCTGTACATTTTATTAACGCAGTGATATGCAACAACCTAATAGTTCAGGAAGTACCTGAATTTCCGCAAAAATATTAATCTATTTTCTGTTTTAAGTTATTGAAGGATGAACGCCTAAAATGATTTACCCTGTAGAATTAAAAATGGAAAATTTCTAAACCGAGCAACAAACGGATATTATACGTGTGCGTGTGTGCATACTATTAGAGCAAAACGATCTCTTCCAGCTGTACACCAATCTTAATATTTAAGTGTCTATTATTTGATCTCTATATACCTGTATGTATACAAATGTCTTGTGTGTTGTGCCGCTACCGATAGGACAGCATGCAAGTCGGGCCAAGTAAAGAATAAGGAGAAACAACAACAATTACCTTGCGATTCCGTACTCTAGGCATGACACTGTCCAGGGGTAAGTCACCTCAGGCAGAAAAACAACACCCCCTCTGCAAAAAAAATGAAAAGTATTGCTCGTTCCTCGTTCATCATCAGCTCGTCTGCTCGTCATTTGTTAACCACTTTTTATCAGCATCCACACGTTATCGTCCCTGATCTTGAACCATCGACGAGAAACACGATCGCTGCACCTGATCTTAATGTGTCCTTTCAAACAGTGATATGCAACGAGATTTATCGCGAAATTCGTCGAATAAATTATTAGTTGCGTGAAATTTCAGTTTTAGTATTTTTAGGAAAGATTAATTGAGTGGGTTATTTTATAGAATTTAGTAATTATTTTTCGTCCTTTGTGAAGTTGGAAATTTTTGAATTTGGATATTAGAAAGTTTGGGTATTTTTGGTGTGAAAAATTTGGTTGCGAATTTAGAAATTTGAGAAGGTGGAAGTTTGATAGTTTGAAAGTTTGAAGGTTGGACTTGCAAATATGAGAATTTATAATTTTGTATATTTGAAAAATTAAAGTTTCTTAATTTCAATATTTATAATGTTAAAAATTTACTGATTTGAATATCTATGATATTGAAAGTTTCTAAATTTGTGATATTAAAAATTACTAAATTTGAATATTTGCAATACCAAGAATTTCCAAATTTACACATTTCATACAAAATTTCAAAATTTAAAGATTTTTAAATTCCCAAATTTCTAAATTAAAAATTTGATCACTTCCATATTTAAAAAGTTACACAATCAAATATGTAAAAACCCGAAGTTATTTAAATTTGAAAATTACAAAAAATAATTTACCGAAAGTTGAGTGACAATCATAAAATAATACAGCTGAAATTTCTCGTAATTGATAATTTTTAAATTAAAATTTAATATGATTAATTGGAGCAACCCGAATTCAACACTGCAAGAATCAAATTTGCGTTGCATACATTTCTCCAAACATTGTTGATTAAATTTCGCTCGATATTCGGCAACGTGATCGTATTTTCGTAAAATCGCCCATGCGAAGAACAGTTGTTAAAGCAATAGTTGTCAATTACCTAACGAGAAACGTTCGTATTTCGTTTTTTTTTTTGAAAAAAACAAACAATAAGGTAGAAAGCCATGGGTTGAAAAAAATTCGACTACAGTGAAATAGTCACGATAGTATAGAATTTCTTTGGATCACGGATGCAATGCAATAAACGATCGATTTCTCTGATTCTGTAGTTTTTAATTGAGTTTTTAAAAATTTTGCTATGACGTATGAAACAGGGAGAAGAAAGAACAATCTTGATAATAGCACGTAATAATGAAAGCAACGAGAATTTAATTATTTATGACTAAACTGCAGTGCGCGTAGAAAAATCGCGTGACGAATATACAATTTAAAATTTTATTGTTCGAAATGATTCGTTTGTCAGTTTACGAATTGGCCAACGTATTTCGAATAAAAATGCACGCTTTTTCAAACAAAAAGAAAATGAATTTTTTTAAACGAAAGATAAATAAATAAAAAAATCGCTCTGTTTGTAATCGATCACGCGTTGATGGAATTCGTGAAAGAAATTTTATTGCGAATGAAATCTTCATATTTTCGCCCTAAATAATTGCGATACGTTTACGTATCGAGAATTTAAAAATTCGTCGGAAAAATATTGCGAGAAAAAATACCCGAATTTAAATACAACAAAATGTGTTCTCGTTGAACGTTTGAAAACTGTTATCGGATGTAACGATAAATCGATTGATCTCACTCGAATCACAAACATACATGTTTCGATCATTGATTTGTGCATGCACGTTGTGCTTACGAGTTTCACCGCATGTACTAATACGATTTTTGTGCTCTAATATTCTTCGTTCGTGATCATTCGTACAGTGTTTTCCAAATTTCTTCCTCTTGGATTTATCTTGTGGTTTAGTTTCTAAATTTAATTAATACAATGTTTCAAATTTTTTAATTTTATCTGTCGTAGATTTGATATTTCTAAATTTTTACACATTTCATCCACACTTCTCAATTTTAAGGTTCATAAATTTTTGCACTTTTAAATTTCTAAATTTTTTAATTTTTTTAATTTCTAAATTTTTAGATTTCTAGATTTCTGGATTTCTGGATTTCTGGATTTCTAGATTTCTAGATTTCTAGATTTCTAGATTTCTAGATTTCTACATTTTTAAATTTTTAAATTTCTAAATTTCTACATTTTTAAATTTCTAAATTTCTACATTTTTAAATTTCTAAATTTCTAAGTTTCCAAACTTGAAACTTCCCAAATCTCCCAAGTTTCCATATTACCAAATTTCAAAAATTTCAAAATTTGAATCGGTATTCTCTCTGTTTCTTATCTACACACATCGTGCATATCTCTGCCCATGAATTATTTTCGGGCACTGAATAAATCCATAAATAGTTTAAAATATCAAACATTTATATACTTAAAACTATTTCACAGTTTAGGTAATAAAAACGATTGATGTTTATAAAGATTATTTGTTAAAATCAATATATGGTGGATTTTGTGTTATTAACATATTACTAACATAACTTTATATTGAAGTAATTTTAACATTTTGTTGTACCGTGTTATTGGAATGGTGGTCTACTAACCTAAATTCGATTATGAAAGACAGAAAAATTGTCCAATATCTGGAGAATAATAAAAATAGCTGTTGAGATCACTGGAACAATATATGTAGACATATTAAAATACAGTTTAATGCAAACCAAATGTTAAATATAATTGAGAAGGATTCTAGACTTCCCCTAGTCTAATAATTCTTGAGTTAGGTCAGTTTAAGTAACTGTATCGCAGCTCTGCAAACTTTTAGATGTATAAAATATTATCTGTCAATATAGTAAAATATTTATTAAATATAAGTATTTACAATAGTTGAAAAATACAAAAATTTTAATGAACAGAAACGCTATAATAATTAATTGTTATCAATGCATAAACTTCTATGTTATTAATAGAAAATAATTTGTCCATTTACCGCATTTAAATGACATGGTACAACAGAATACGAGAAATATCTGTAAATACTTCAGAATAAAATTATGTTATTATTATATTATACAATATCCACCTTATACGAAAAAATAAGTTTATAAAGCGTCAATCGTATTTATTCTGTTTTTCTATTGTATAAACACGTAAAAAGTATCGAACATTCAATTTATCGTAACAACGATATAAAATATGAAGGCAAAGCGAAAGACCCGTTCAATCGTGATCGAATGGGTCGCGTATGGAAGCCATTTGAAAAACACTGACACAAAGCACAATGTTTGCTGCGACACTTTGTCCAAGAAATCCCCCATGCGATTCTTGCAAGTTACAACTCCATGGGGATGAACAGAGAGCGTTTCCTTTTGCGACAAGCAACGATGAACAATCGGCGAAGGCAAGTGTGGTGACGTTTGTTCGAAATCAAACGACCAAATCCTGTCGATGTCAAATTTCTTTCTCTTTTTTTTCTACTCGCGACTGTTCCCTCCCTCCAAATTAGAAACGAGATTAGAACACATCGTTTTCATCCCTCGATACAAGCATGTTTGACACCCTTTTCGAAACCCGCTCGCAAATCAACCCCCTTTGTAATTTCTGTTCCGTCCAGAAAGTAACAAGTTTCGATTGTGTAACGTTTAGTCGATTTCCGATCTGTCCAGAGTTCTGTCACGCTCACGTTTATTCGCATTTACCTTGCTTGAATTGAAGTACATTACGTTAGTGCGATGACTTGCTTGTGAATGTTACTATTAATTACATTAACGAACAGTCCACGCTCGAACGCAAACGCCCGGGCTACGTGAGAGATCGACGACCCCTGCTTTCAATTATCGCCATCACTCGACTGATTATGGTAGATAGTTACTGTAGATAGATCGATAGACATTATTAGTTAACTGTTATTCGTATTAGAGAGATGTGTACTGCTTTCTCGAGGTACGTATGTACGGGTCAATTTGACACGACCGAAATATTAATAATTTTATTACATTTTCCATGTGTTATTTAACGGTCGATCTTGTGTGCTATGAAATTTCAACTTTGATAGAAGTCAAGAATAATTTCACATATCACATTATGTTTCATTCTATGTTTGTTAATTGAACTATATTTAATTTAGGTTTTTAGAGTAAGCGTTAAACGTTAGTAGTTCTAGTG